TTTTTTTTTTTTGTGCGAGAGGTACCGTCAGTGCGTTTCTCTGCTTTTATTTCCTGCCCACCGTTTTTCAAGGGTGTTAAGCGTGAAGAAAACTGCGGAGCTTGACTTGCTGTTTTCGGTCCACTCGTGCAAGCAAAGTACCCAAACGCTTTCGGTTACGCAGCGTGTGATCTTCCCAGAGCAGCACCTGCCAGGGCTTACGGACACGTTTCATCCTCCTCTTGGTATCGCCTCTGATGGCTAAGTGTTAAGATAAATTCCCACTGCAGGTTGGTTGGTTCAGTAATAACCCATTGCCCTCACTTCTTATCATAGTCCTGATTACTTCTTTCTTTTAACCACAACGTCTCGAGAAAACACAAGTTTATTTGGAAAACTTTTTACAGCAATACTTTTTACCTTTTTATTGCACCACCCCAGTTCTTTGTTGTCCTGGAGAGCACGCTCTCAGTAGATGAGGTTGGGTTCCCGAGTGATGTCATTTGTGCTGGAGCAACGGCGATGACTTTGCGATTGAATTCATCTTACTGGAGGTGTGGGGCTTCGTGATTTTGCGTGTGTGTGCTGTAGAAACTTCGTCTGAATCAGCAGCCGACTGAGAAAATTCTGTGATCGGTGCTATGTAGGCAGTAAGGGAGTACAGTGATGGTAGTTGTTTTTTCCTTTCAGCGCATGTATTTCTGATCAGGTCTCTTTCCACCTGAAGAATTTGAACTTGTTAGAGTCCGTTTGTTTAAGTAAATACATAAAGCAGTGGGGAAGGACGGTGTTGAAGCATATCACAGACACCGGAGGTGGAGAGAGCAGGCTCTCCCAGCCCGCAGCCTGGGGAGTGAGGGATGCGAGGAAGAATATTCAGGTGGGTCCGGTGTCTTGTAAAGCCAGTCCAGAGGATCTGAAAACTCTGGGGGGAAAAAAGCAGCAACAACAGAGCGCAAACAGCGATGAATTAACTGATTGGTAATTTTTAGTGGAGGAAGGTTTGGATCAAAAGCAAGTAAGCATCAGAACAAACAGAGGGTAAGATTTGCAGTAAATACAGGATCTAAGCTTTCAGGGAAAAATGCTTCCATAAAAGAAAGGCTGTTTATTTTTTAAATTATATTTACACTGTGCAGTTGGGTGGAATTTCTGAGGTGAAGAAATCGGAGATTGACCCTTCTCTGGCAGAGTCGCAGGTTGAGCTGGAGCTAGAAGATCGATTGATGAATAGGCTATAATTTACAAGCATCGCTTCAAATATTTTCAATATTTCTCAACTATTTTAAGAAGCCATATTGAGTTCAAGCCCAGCCAGCCTGATAGTCTAGAGAGAGGAAGGATGCATGTCGCTGGAACAAGAATTAAGCAAAAATAGATAAATCTGACATAATGGATGACAAGGGAAAGATGATTGCTGAAAGATGCTGGCATGCTCTCTGTTCCTTCCTGCTTGGTGAATATTTTGTATGTTACATGGCTTTTGAAGTGTGAAAAAAAAAAAAAAAAAGAAAAGAAAAAAATCTCATTTTGTGCTGAGATAAAAGAAAAGGTAGGTGCTTAGATTCTGTTAAGGATCAGCTTTGATAGTGACATTAAGTAGTGACCTTACTTGCAGTTACCCCTCTGTCATTTCGTAAACTTCTTAAATGAGTAAATAACGCACTTGGCACCACATAAATATCATTTAGTAAGATGGTATTTTTGATCCCACTTTTACTTCACATTGCAAACAGATTCACACTTTTTCTCCTTGGGATGTTATTTCTGCTAACATTAAAAAATAGGTTGGAGAATGTCCACATAGTATTGTTTTTTCTACAAATGTAAAATTAATGATCTCTGTATCTTGGATATTTGC